CCCGTGCCTTCGGCGCGGACACTCGCTGCGCTCGGTCCGCACCTTTGGCAGGGTCCACAGCTTGTTGGGGCTGCGCCCCAAACCCCCCGGTGGATTCTCAGTTCGCCAACGCATGGCGGATTCCGAGTCCCGGGGTTCGCCGTGCACAGGTGGATTCCGAGTCCCGTGTTTGTCCCGTGATTATATCAGGTGACTTTTTGTGTGGCAGTGTTCGTTGTCTCTTAATATATAGGATACAGCAAAATATTAAGGTACGTGGAAAGAGCTCCGAGATTTTTCCTATTGGTCCGGCATTTCCCGAGCCAATAGGAAAAATCTCGGAGCCCTTTCCATGTACCTTAATATTTTGCTTTATCCGGTGTGGTTTTTGTCGACGAGGTTTTGGTGGCAATGGCCCTAAAAGGCAGGAAGCTGTGCACGGACCGTGATCCGGACCCTCCTCCTCCTCGTGTGCACAGCATGTCAAAACTTTTGGAGGTTGATGTCATGAACTTTAGTTCCGCTGATAAGCCTTGTAAATGACTACTAGTGAAACGCACACTTTTTGTGATTTCCTTACATCATTTAAACGCTATATTGTCTTATATCCAGAACTAGTACTGAGACCCAGAAGTAGCTAGTTGGGCTATTACCACAGAGTAACGGGTCATTAAGGGAGTAATACACCAAGGTGACTGGCGAGTGCTCGCTCCGAAACGTGTAGGGGTTTGTGCAGTCCATTAAACATCAATGGGTATTATATCACTCAAATCGTCAGGTTGGATATAAGACCAACTAGTGACTTGGGTTGATGCACATTATCTTTGGTTATGTTGTGATGTTGGACGCGTTCGCGACGAGGTCATGTGACTCCCGGGTATACGGAAACCCCGTATTCCGAGTTGTTCCGATGCCAAGAGCTTATATCCGTGATATACCGGACCTTCGGTATAACCTAAACAGGTCAAGATGGTGCTTCTACTAGGAACCCATTCTTGGATATAACACATATTGGGTATCAATCGAAAGCTACGGACCTATACTATTCAGTATTGGACTGATAACTTAGGGGAGACTAGTCTACGACTAGGATATAAGGGATCTTGTCCCTCATCAAGATAATGCATGTGAAATAGTCATAAGACAAGGATGACTGATGCTTATGATCGTTTTGCTGACTCGGAAATGGCGATACTATGGCGTGATAAGGTTCAATAACCAATCAGGACGACGGGAATAGCAATACCACGGAAGACATCCGACGGATATACGGAAGATTGGCTCATTTATGCTTATATCGGAATTGTACATGTTTGTTCTGGGGTTTGTATTTAAGTAGGACGGTGTTGTAGTTGAAGGTCACGGTATCCACCCACGACTAGTAGGCTATAAGCTTGCGCTAGGGTCAGATCCGAGGCTTTCAGTTGCGCACTATCATAATAGAGGATAGTGGCTTGTGAAACCTGTATATTTTGGAATTGTATTGCATTGGGATTGGAACCAGAACACTGTGTACGGAAATTGAGAACACCGCCTTTGACTAGAACACTGCGTACGAGAACACTGTGTACGGGAATTGCATTGGGATATTGGATTGTGATTGGAACTGTTGGAATTGTGTTGGGAATTGTTATATCCGAGTAACGTCGGGTCGGATATTAGTCCGAATCTTGGGTATTGAGCCCACTGTCCTTTTGGACGTCATCTGTGCTTTGTTGTGACTCATAGCTGTGAAGCTTTACATCTCTTAGTTTTGGATATATTGTTCTGGTGTATACCAAGCGATTTATCTAATAACAACAACACTCTATAAAACCACTACTATAATAAAACCTTTCCCCTCAACCTTAAACAAGGCTCTGAGCAGGGGACTGACACTCGCCGGTTTCACTGGGCATAGCAACTTATATCCTAATTGTTTTGTTGGTTGATTGATATACGCTATCGCTTATATCCGTACACCGCAAAGTTGGATATTAGAGGTTATTGATTCCCATACTGTTTACGAGCACACAAATCACCGCGTGCCTCTTGCAGCCTGGACTCGAACCAGGATCATCTCCGGCTTCACGAGGTGGAAACTTGACATGCTGCGCCAGTGCGAATCTTCTCGCTACTGGGTCTCTTGACCCTCACTTTACATGCCGTTAAATCCGTCTCATCGCTCCGTGTCTTTCAAGAAAAAGAAATGCGCGAGAACAGAGTTATGGCCCAGCCTGGATTCGAACCAGGATCTCCGACTTCAAAGCTTCTAGCGGTTGTGCAATGCCGCGCCGGTGCGATTCCTCTCGCTACTGGGTCTTCCTAGGCACCCTTGAGTCCTCAATAGACACGCAAACCAGTTGTCCGTTAGTGCGTTTTCAACAAAAAAGATTGTCAGGTGCGAATGATCCAGCCTGGATTCGAACCAAGAGCAACTTCGGCTTGAAAGCTTGTGGCGATGACTGCGTACATGCTGCACCGGTGCAATTCATTTCGCTACTGGGCCTCTTGACGCTCACTCTCCGTGTCTCTGAATTAGTCTAATCGTTCCCGTGAGAAAAAAAGGCCTGAATTTTAGCAATGACCTAGCCTGGACTCGAACCAGGATCTCTGGCTTAGCGACACAGAATACAGAGCATGCTGCGCCGGTGCGATTCATTTCACTACTGGGTCTTCCCTTCCTGACATGTGTAGATCCTCAATATACACGTCAATCACTTCTCCGTTGGCGTGTTTTCAAGAAAATATATGAACTATGACCCAATGACCCAGCCTAGATTCGAACCAGGGTTGTCTCCGGCTTGAGAGCTCCTTTCAGTAGAAGAAATGCTGCACAGGTGCAATTGATTCGCTACTAGGTCTTTCGACCCTCACTTTACACGCCGCTGAATTCATTCGTTTCCGTGTTTTTCAAGAGAAAAAGACGCACCACTGGAACTTTCAATGACCCAACCTGGATTCGAACCAGGATCTCCGGCTTTGAATCTTCCAAGGACCTACATGCTGCGCCGCTGAGATTCCTCTCGCTACTGGGTCTCTTGACCCTCACTTTACGCGCCTCTGGATTCATCTCATCGATCCGTGCTTTTCAAGGAAAAATAAGCGAACCCAACTATGACCCAGCCTGGACTCGAACCAGGATCTCCAGCTTAGCATCGCTCGACATCTACATGCTCCGGTGCGATTGATTCGCTACTGGGTCTTCTTACCCTCACTTTACGTGCAGTTGAACTCATCTCATTGTTTCCATGCTTTTCAAGAAAAAAGATCAAGAGTTTAGCTCAATGACCCAGCCTGGACTCGAACCAGGATCATCTCCGGCTTGGAACCTTCTGGCGACTGTGGACATTCTGCCGGCGCGATTCCTCTCGCTACTGGGTCCTCCTTCTCAGACGGTGTAGATTCTCAGGATACACGCAAACCAGTTGCATGTTCAACGAAAAAGACGATCTGTCCACATATATGACCCAGCCTGGATTCGAACCAGGGTCATCTCTTCAACAAAGCTTCTGGCGACCATGGTCACGCTGCGCCGGTGCGATTCCTCTCGCTACTGGGTCCTCCCTTTTCAACTGTAGATCCTCAATATAAATGTCAATCAGTTCCCCGTTTGGGCGGTTTCAACGAAAAAGACCTACATTACGGCTTAATGATCCAGCCTAGATTTGAACCAGGATCATCTCCGGCTTAGCGATACAGAATACAGAGCATGCTGCGCAGGTGCGATACCTTTTGCCACTGGGTCTTTTGACCCTCGCTTTACGCGCCACTCGATTCATCTCATCGTTCCCGGGCTTTTCGAGAAAAAAATCCTGCCGACACTTCGCAGGACCCAGCCTGGACTCGAACCAGGATCTCCGGCTTTAAAGCTTATAGCAATGACCTACATGCTGCGCCGGTGCGATTTATTTCACTACTGGGTCTTCCCTACCCACTTTTGCATCCCGTATGTCTGGGCCACTTGGCACATTCCTCAAATACGAGTCCAGATTCGTAGACCACGACCTGTACGCCCGGGTTCTTCCCCAGGGACCTCTGCTTCGTCAGCGTGTATGCATAGACCCAGCTCCCCATTTTCGGAGAGGAAAAAGGGGATACTACCGTGTTCATGACCAGCCTGGATTCGAACCAGGAGCATCTCCGGCTTGAAATCTTCTGACGACCAAGGCACGCTGCGCTGGTGCGATTCCTCTCGCCACTGGGTCTTCACGGCCCACATTTGCATCCCGTATATATGGGTCAATGACCTGCCCGTTAGCGCGGTGTTCAAAAATGCGTCTGAGTTCAGCTGTATAAATGACCAGCCTGGTTTACAGGATCTAATATGGCTTGTCACTTTACGCGCCTCTGAATTCGTTTCATCGTTTCCGTGCTTTTCAAGAAAAAAAAACGCACGAGAACAGTCTTATGACCCAGCCTGGACTCGAACTAGGGCTTCCGGCTTCAAAGCTTCTGACAAAGATAGTTGCAATGCGCCGGTGCGTTTCATCTCGCTACTGGATCCTCCTCGCTTTACGCGCCACTCGATTCATCTCATCATTCCCGTGCTTTTCAAGAAAAAAGACGTGTCATCGGTGTTTATGGCCCAGCCTGGGCTCCAACCAGGATCATGTCCGGCTTAGACACTGAGTACGCTGTATGCTGCGCCGGTGCCAGGCCTCTTGACCTTCACTTTATATGCGACAGCATGCTGCGCAGGTGCGATTCATTTCGCTACTGGTTCTTTTGACCTCCACTTTACGCACCATTGAATTCATCATTGTGTGATTGTCAAGAAAAAAATACATCATTCTTACGTATGATCCAGCCTGGACTCGAACCGGGGCTTCCGGCTTGCTGCTTAGCCACACATGGCCACTTACAGCGTAAAATAGAAATACATCACATCAGCTTCCGGCTTGAAAGTTTCTCGCAATAACATCGGGCATGCTGTGCCGGTGCAATGCCCAGCGCCACTGGTTCTTTCGAACCTCGCTGTACGCACCATTGAATTCATCGTTCCGTGATTTTCAAGGAAAAAAAGACGGAAACTGGAAGAATGACCCAGCCTGGATTCGAACCAGGATCTCCGGCTTTGAAGCTTCCAAGGATGACCTACATGCTGCGCCGCTGCGATTCCTCTCGCCACTGGGTCTTCCCAACTTTTTCGATTTGTACAATGTTGACTTCAGCGTGGCGCATTTTCAACAAAAAAGACACCGTGGTGGTTTCCCTATGGCCCAGCCTGGATTCGAACCAGGGTTGTCTCCGGCTTGAAACCATCTCGGTACTACAACGCGGCACCGGTGCGATACATTTCGCTACTGGGTCTTCCTAGACACCCTTGAATCCTCAATATACATGCAAACCACTTGTCAGTTAGTGCGTTTTCAAGAAAAAAACCGCGAGAACAGAGCTATGACCAAGCCTGGATTCGAACCAGGATCCCCGGCTGGCAAGTTTCTGATGACTATGGGCACGGTGCGCCGGTGCGATGCCTTTCGCTACTGGGTCTTCCTGGGTACCTATGTATCCTCAATATACACGCCAATCAGTTGCCTGTTGGTGCCTTTTCAACAAAAGCAATGAACCCTGAACCTAATGACCCAGCCTGGACTCGAAACAGGATCATCTCCGGCTTAACGAGGTGGAATTTTTCAATGCTGCGCAGGTGCGATGCATTTCGCTACTGGGTCCTCCCTGCCCATGTGTATATCTTCAACATACAGGCCTCTGAATTCATTCGTTCCGCACTTTTCGACAAAAAAGACATCATATACTACTAATATACATGTCAATCACTTGGCCGTTAGTGCATTATCAACAAAAAAGACATTACGCTGTCCGGTGCAATGACCCAGCCTGGATTCGAACCAGGATCTCCGGCTTTAAAGCTTATAGCAATGACCTACATGCTGCGCCGGTGCGATTTATTTCACTACTGGGTCTTCCCTACCCACTTTTGCATCCCGTATGTCTGGGCCACTTGGCGCATTCCTCAAACACGAGTCCAGATTCGTAGACCACGACCTGTGCGCTGTGGTTCTTCCCCGGGGACCTCTGCTTCGTCAGCGTGTATGCATAGGCCCAGCTCCCCATTTTCGGAGACCAAAAAGGGGATACTACCGTGTTCATGACCCAGCCCTGGATTCGAACCAGGATCATCTCCGGCTTAACGAGGTGGAAATTTTACATGCTCCGGTGTGATTCCTCTCGCTACTGGGTCTTTCCTATCCACCTTTGCATTCACATGTGTGGATCACTTACCTGCCCGTTAGCGCGGTGTTCAAAAATGCGTCCAAGTTCAGCTTTAAATAAATGACCAGCCTGGTTTGTACCAGGATCTAATACAGCTTGGGTACGTCCAAGCTCTCAAAACAGTGTTACACATTACCGGCTCGATACCTCTCGCTACTGAGTCTTCTTAAAATTTTAGATTTGTATGGCAGCGTTGGCGCGTTTTCAAGACAAAAAAGACACCGTATTCCGGAACTATGACTCAGCCTGGATTCGAACCAGGATCATATCCGGTTTAGCATCGCTCGACATCTACATTATCCGGTGCGATTCCTCTCGCTACTGTGTCTCTTGACCCTCACTTTCCGCACCATCAAATTCATCTCATCTTTTCTGCGCTTTTCAATAAAAAAGACAGCGTATTCTACCACTATGACCCAGCCTGGATTCGAACCAGGATCATCTTCAGCTCCGGAATGTCCGGCGAATCGCGAATACGCTGCCGATGCGATTCATTTCACAAATGAGTCCTCCTGCTCAGACGATGTAGATTCTAAATATACACGCAAACCACTTGCATGTTCAATGAAAAAAACGAATGTTCACAAATATGACCCAGCCTGGACTCAAACCAGGAGCATCGCCGGCTTTAGAGCTTCTAGCGACTATGGGAACGCTGCGCAGGTGCGATTCCTCTCGCCACTGGGTCATCCCTAGCCCCCTTTGCATCCCTCATCTGTCACCCACTTGGCGCGTTGCTTAAACATGAGTTCAAGTGCGGCTGGAAATATATAAATGACCCAGCCTAAATTCGAACCAGGATCACCAGGCTGAAGTGCCTCCCACCGTATTGCCGGCTCGATACGTCTCTCGCTACTGGGACTTCCTAATTTTCTCGATTTGCATGGCGTTGACTTGAGCGTTAGCGCGTTTTCAACAAAAAAGACATTATGTTGTCCGCTGCAACTTGAAATGACCCAGCCTGAATACAAACCAGGATCACCTCCGGCTTAGCGCTTCTGTACATAATTCTGCGCAGGTGAGATGCCTCTCGCTACTGGGTCTTCCCGGGTACCCGTGCGTCCACAATATAGACCCAAACCACTTGGCCGTCGGCGCGTTTTCAAGAAAAAAAAGGAGCAAGTTCGAGATATGACCCAGCCTGGATTCGAACCAGGATCATCCTCCGACTTCAAAGCTTGTGGCTATGACTGCGTACATACTGCCGGCGCGATTCCTCTCGCTACTGGGTGTTCCCTGCCTATGTGTAGATCTTCAATATACACCTCAATTAATTGTCCATCGGCTTTTTTGAAAAAATCAGATGTGGCACTTTGAATGATCCAGCCTGGACTCGAACCAGGACCATCTCCGGCTTGAAAGCTTCTCGCGATGACTCTTGGCATACTGCGCTGGTGCGATTACAGCTGTTTTCAGGAGTATGTACGGGTGGAGTCTATACGAGAAGAATGGGAGTGGGACTCGCTTATTTTGGCGTCGCGAAGGCCACGGTAAGCGAGTCCCATTATCGAACCAAACAAACCATAAGACAAAGAGGCGTGCCGAGTCCGCCATCACATCGGCTTGTTATCGGCACTATCTGCGGGCGTGCAAGATTTCAATGTATTTTCCGTGCAATACATTTTTGGGCGGGATATCGTACGCGGGGGGAGACCCCCCGCGGACCCCCCCTGTCGCTTGCCGCGGGGCCCACTGCGTGGAGCTTCCGCTCGCCGCGGGGGCCCACTGCGTGGGGCTTGTGTATTTTTTATTTTTATTTTTCGCCTTTTTCTCCTTTTTCGGTGATGTCTTACGGGGGTCTCCCTTGCCACTCGCCGCTGGGCCCACTGCGTGGGGCTTCCCGCTCGCCGCGGGGGCCCACTGCGTGGTGCTTGGCGCCTTCGGCGCCTGTGTGTCGGGGAGTTCACTGTACACTGATGGGGTTGATGGCCGGATCTCAGTCCGGTGTGTCGAGTCCCATTGATGGTAAGCTGATAATGGGACTCGGCGTTCGGCCCTGTTCTACGCGAGAACAGCCGAGTCCCACTCCCATTCTTCTCGTCGATACTCGTACGGGTGTGACAGAATGTTACTTTTCGATTTCTGCTTACGGTTGTTTGTCGCTGCGTCCGGCCGCTCCACACTCCTCACGAATGGCTTATTCCACCGTCCGCCACCACCCATGCCAACCTGCAAGCGTAGTTCGGACGAGAAGAAGCAGACCGTGATCCGTTTGGCCCACCGCGGCCGCGAGCAAGCCGACATCGCAGTAGATGTTGGCATATGCTTGAGCTCGGTCGAGAAGATCTTGCGGCGCTACCGGCAACAGAACCAAGGAATCCCCGTGCAGCCCACATTCCGACTGATTGGGGGGCCACGGGCCTTGGAGGTAACTGATGTCGATGTACGAACAACGATTAGATGATTAATGAAGCGCTAACCATATCATTCAGTTTATCGTCGGTCTGGTGGAAAAAACCCCAGATATCTATTTGAGAGAGATTCAGGTGGAACTGCAGGAAACTTGTGATGTCGAGGTCTCAACCACGACGATCTGGAGGGCGCTCACCCGTCGAGGATTCACTCGAAAACGGGTACGCAACGTGAACCTCGAACAATGTTGATTTGACTCCATGGCTTTGCAGGTTTCTCGTGTGGCTGCTCAGCGCGACGGGAATGGCCGTGCAAACTACCAAATCTACATGACGACGACATACCAGCCAGAACAACTGGTTTTTGTCGACGAAGCCGCTTGCAATCGGAACACTGCGAAACGCGGTTGGGCATGGGCCCAAGTTGGGGAACAGGCACGCAGGCATGATGTATATATATCCGGGGGATAAAGTGCGTTCACTATTCATTTGTTTGCCTCACGTTCTGATGTTTTCTCGAGGTACTCTGTTCTACCGGCTCTTTCTTTGAGCGGAGTTTTACACCTCGATGTCCTCGCGGGCTCCTATAATGCCGCCGCTTTTAATAGCTTCATCGACGGCCTCCTGGACAACATGAATCCATTTCCGGGCCCGAACTCCGTCATCGTGATGGACAACGCGTCCATTCATAAGTCGCCGGCACTGCGCCCGATGATTGAACAGCGGTGAGTTCAGCTTCCTATCAATCTCCGAGAGTGTTAAATGGTACTCCTCCAGAGGGATGCGGCTCGAGTATCTTCCTCCGTACTCTCCCGACTTCGATCCGATTGAAGAAGGGTTTTCGGCACTGAAAGCATGGATACGGCGGAATCGAGATTACACAGATGGAGCGTTAGCTGGCGGACCGAATGCAGACTCGCCGTATGCGATGATCTGGCGGGCCGTGTTTGAGTCGATGACACCAGAGAAGGCACACGGATGGTTCTCGCACTCTGGTTACATTTGAAGTTGTTTAGTATGTATTACTGTACATATTTGAACATTATAGTATCGTACAGAACTTCTTGTCACCCCCGCAGTAAAGTACATTAGTTTTCTTTTCGTCTTGGCTGTGAAATTAAAATTTGGCTCTACCCTTCCCCTTCGCCGCTGTGCGCTCCACGGCCGTGATCGACTCGTCGACGAAGTGTTCAGCAAGCTCCCGAGGCATGTTCACCTGGTCGACAAAGAACTGGGGCTCCAGGAGCGTGACTTGGTCGGCGCGGGTGATTTGAAAGCTGTGCAGGTCGTCTGCGAACACAATTGCCAGGAATGGGAGTGCAACTGAATCTTCAAATAGCTTGGAATCGTCAATAGACTGGAGAATGTCAGTTACGGGAGAATAATATATGTCGTCGAAGTCGCTGTTGTTAAGGAGGGTGTGCGACTGCGAGGCGACGGGAGGATGCTTCATGTTGGCGGCGTTGGCAGTCGCTGCCGTGATGGGTGCCAAGGGGCTTCGAGCCGGCGGAGAAACGGCACCACTGTGTTGACGGTGACGTGGATCGTGGGGGCGCATGGGTTCTTGGGAGATTCGGGCTTGCTGGTACGCGCTCTCTTGCGCTCGGGTAAGAAGTAATCCTGGAACATGATGTTCTCAGGAGGCCGAAACTTTGTCACTTTGCCAAGCGACTGGAGAATATATATCAGTATTGGAGATAGTACGAGAGCGGACCACTCACAATCTCCTTGGCCCAGAGCGATACGTGGGCCGGCTCCACACGAATATGGTGGCCATCAGGGTGAACATAGCAGAGCTGGTCTCTATGTTTCGCGCACGAGAGCTGGCTTCGGAGTTCCTTGTACTCCTTCGTAAAATCATCAGTCTTCCTTTCCACGGAAGGCGCCCGCTCTTTGCGTTTCTTGCTGGGCTTCGCGACAACAGCAGTCTCCTCGGGAAGATTCTACACGCGCAAGTAAGTAGAGCACAATTCCAATTTGAAAGGAACGCACAAGGTTTTTGATGATACAAGTAACCATTCGGACCCGTGCTCTCTCCGTTTGCCCTATCCCACTCTGAAGACAATCTGCCCAGTCAGCGGCAGTAACGAGCTCGTGGACGGGGGCGCTGATTTTATCATTATCCCAGTTGTAGCCGATGTGCGCTGTGGAAGGGTCGAGGCCCATGATCCCGCAAATCTCGACGAATGCGACATTGAAAGGAACTCCACGTGTGTACTTCTTGGTCCTCGCAACACGGGTGGCCCCAATAACATTGGTGTTAGTCGGAATTTCGAAGGACAGGGCTGTCCCAGGTACATGCGGAATATTAGTTCAGTCAGAAAAGAATTTTAAACCGTACCTGTACCGGTTGGACCTGCAGCAGGAGGGGCAGCTGCTGGAGCTGGAGCAGCCTCTGGTGTATAGGGAGGTGGAAGATCTGCTCCAGCATTCGCTCCGGGCGGTGAAGCTAAGACGGTCCAGCCATCCTGCTGCCGAGTGTGTTCGCGGTAGTGGCGGCTGGCTGTGGTTCCCTCGTTGGTCGACATGATGGAGGTTTACATTCAAGAGTGGTTTAAGCGTAGACTGCGACGGTACGAATGGTTTCGACGGCGGGGCCCCAGTGGAGCCATGATGATATGACGTTGAATGAATACAGCGATAAACCATGGTAAACAGAAATTGAGGAGCGATCTTGTGTCACACCCGTACATACTCCTGAAAACAGCTGTAATTTCGCTCCTGGGTCTTCCATACCCCCTTTTGCATCCCGCATGTGTGGGTCACTGACCTGCTCGTTAGCGCGGTGTTCAACAATGCGTCCAAGTTCCCCTCGTGTTGGCCACTTGGCGCATTGCGCAAACACGAGTTCAAATTCGGTTGACCATGACCTGTGCGCTGTGATTCTTCCCCGGGGACCTCTGCTTCGTCAGCGTGTATGCATAGGCTCAGCTCCCCATCTTCGGAGACCAAAAAGGGGATACTACCGTGTTCATGA